GCTGGAGTACCATCCCCACTTCTCAACACCAAATTTTATCTTAGCTATCTACTGCTATTATAACAGAAACAGCACAAGGAGAAAGCAAGCTGAACATCTTTCTTCTCAGTGTAGGAGCTGAGAAGTCCAAATTCAGAGTGCCAGTCTAGGGGAAGGTCTGGGAGAAAGTCCTTATCTCTTTAGCTTCTATATTTTGGTTCTTTAGTGATCTCTGAGGGTAGCGCCTTTTTGGTGCTGCACAGGGACTAGTCCTTCCAGTGGCACCTAGGCCTGGGGGCATAGAGGGCTCTTCTATGTATTCCAGGTCCTCCCTGGCCAGCAGAGCATCTTGGGACCCCAGTGCTCTGGAGTGTCCACAAAGCTAGGTACTGTCTCTTTAAATAGTAGAGGCTGAGTGCTCTCAGGCCACCATGACATATCCCAGCATTGGACCAGCCCCTGAATAAACTAGAAAGTTGTCTGGCCTGAACTCAGTAACAGGAAGCAGCACCAGGGGAACATCTCCAGGAGCCTCATTGGAAGCAACAGGGCTCTGAAGGAATCTGCCAGCTGCATGTCCACCTCTGCTACCCTGTAGGGAGGGGCTGCCTTTGCATCCCTTGCACCAGACTGCAAAGAAATCCCTGTGGAGGAAGGGTTACGCCTCTTGCTGTTTTGCCTGGTGAGTTATTGGCAAATCTAGGCGTGGGGTGCGGTGTGTTTAGGATTTATCATTGCCTGATGCCAACCCTTGCAAACTGGAAATCGATTGGGCTACTGCAGAGAAGGTGGGCTTATGTTGAAATAGAAGAGTCAGAGGAGTCCAGATTCATTTTTCAAAAAACTCTCGGCTAAGAGCTTTGCCTGGGAAGTCAAGATGAGCTCTCTCTTCTGAGGGCTTCCTGAAAACTTGACACTTCCAGATTTAAAGGGGCAAAGGGATCCTAGGAGCCCTTCCCTCCTGGGACTTAGCTCCCAGCTGCTCTGTCCAGGCTTGGCTGCAGAAGCTCCACTCTGAGTCCTGGGTGTGGCAGGAGGGGAGGGATAGACCTATGGAGGGATGGATGGAGGTTCTTGCACCTGGCAGCTTACCATGTTCTGTAACCTGGGTGGTGACTGATCAAGATTTTCAGGGTCCAAAGAAAGCAAGTAATGCACTGTGTCTGATGTTTGCTGCACTTTTTCTGGTGGCATGTCCACATGATCAAAGAATTTATTTCAAACAAAAGAAAAAGAAGGAAGATTCTGAGTTAAATATGCTAATATTTGTAAAGCACTCAGTAAAGTACCTACTACATAGCAATCACATAAAGGTTGAAAAAGTAATCTGAATAGCATAAAATAAGGCAATAATTTCTAGAGCAAATCTGGCCTATGACAGTAGAAGAGAGAAATCACTTCAGCCATTCATTCTTCTTCCTAGTATGGGAATGACACAGTGATACTTTATATTTAATACTGGAACGGTGCAGCCTGGCTTGCAGGGGCTGTTGGGAGGGCAAAATGTGAAGCAATAATGGCTACAATTCACTGGACACCGGGCCCTTATAATGTTTCAGGCACTGTATTAACTGCAGGTAGGCGGTGTTATTGTTGTGTGCCATTGAGTTAGAACACATCCATAGCTGACCCTCCAGCAGGCTTTTCAAAGGCACTAGATAGCAGGGAGGAGATTGCCTATCTGGATCCCTCCCAGCAGCTGGTGGATTCAAACTGCCTGCCTTTGGGACTGCAGTGCCACTTCTCACCATTCCACCACGAGAGCTCCCTAGGAGGCAGTGATAGTTCTGTTCATACAGAAAACGGTGGCATGGTGAACTTTGGAAACTTATCCATTCACAAGACTTGTGCACAATTAGGTTTGTCTGAATCCAGACACAGGGCCTAACCACTTTGCCATACTGCCTTGGACAGGCTCCCATGTGGAAAGTGCCACGTGCCTAGCATTGAAAGAGTGTTTAATACAGCGTATACAGGTATTCGTTCCATAATGGTCATGTAAGAGTATTAAAAAGACAGAATAGTGTTTGAAGAATTGCTTATAAATTAAGAACACAGTAATTAGTTCAAAGAGCTACTCTTCGTTGTTTCCCTTTGAATCAGAACTGACCTATAGCTGACATTAGGGTGAGTTTTCAGAGGCAGTTAATCCCACAGGAGGAGACTGCCCATCTTTCTCCTGTGGAGCAGCTGGTGGATTTGAACCACTTGCCTTTCGGATTGCAGCGCAGCTTCTTGCCAGTAGGCCACCAGACCTTCCTAAGAGGAGAGCTATTATTTTGATCTAATAAGAGAATATGGAGTTATTGGAATCATTAAGACGAAGTTTTAGGATATATAGCAAGTAGGAAAGAGGGACAGGCAATGTTTTCCTCACACTTGGGCAATCAAAGCCCACATAGCCTTCTGGATCTTTCTGGATCTTCTCCCTGGGCCGCTGGACCCTGGCCTTATAGCCAGGCGCGCCAGCCCTACTCTCGGAAGGCTACCCTCCCTCTGTAAGGCTGGGCGGGTCAGCTGATTTTCCTGGCGGTTCTCTCTTCCCCTCATATAGCCCACCCCCGCCCCGTGGCCCGGGAGTCCAGCCACGCCTGGGAGTTAGGCCAGGCTGTTGCAGGCAAACTTTGCCGGAGAGCACAGCCCGCTACGGGAGAATTTCGTGCAAGCAGCGGGGGACCCAGATTCCAGAGTACACAGACGGTCTCCAAGTTGGCCCGATTACCCCTCCTCCCACCCCGTGTCACCGAAGCAGGATGTCCAGTTCTGGATCCGTTACTGTCCAGCCCTTGGCACGCACAGTTCTAGGCGCAAAGACTCGCAGATGAGCAGGCGAGCCGGGTGCGTCTTAAGTGAGGTGTGCCCGGATAAGACATCAGGACGGTCGGGGGTGGGGGGGCTCCGGGACTCTCTGGAAGAGGGACCGGAGACCTCTGACGTCAGGTGGCGCGGGGTGGACGTGGGGGCGAGGCTTCTAGTCCTTAAACGCCGGCTCTCCTTAACCCCGAGGTGAGGAATCCATTCTCGGAGCCCGCGTGGGCGCCGGCCGCGTCCTGGAGCCCTAAACCCCTCGGGTGGCACCCGCGGCGGGTGACAACTGGAGGCTTTTCCCACGTGGGCTGGAGAGGGGGTGGGGAGGCGGAGGGGCCACTTTATTGGTCAGCCGTTGGTTTCCCTGCCCTCAGGCGAGCGGGAGGAAGTGGGAGGTGAGGAGGTTCGGCTGTCTTAGTATCTCGTAAGAGGTCGACTTTTTCCCGGGACGCCCTTCAGAGCGGGTAATTGTCTCCAGCACTCCCTCCACCCTTCCCTCCCTTCGCTCGGAGTCCCGCCCTCCCGCACCGGCGGCCCCTGGACACACCCAGCTGCAGCAACGCAAACAGGGCGTTGTTCCCGTTAAAGGGGAACGCCGGAGCCTCCCCCTCGCCCCTCGCTTCGCGCGCGCGCAGCCACAGTGCCCTGCTTGTGTGCACGCCAGCTGCGAGTGAGCGCACCCGAGTTTGTGTCTGAGGCCACTCCGCCGATCCGGGACCACAGTTCTTTTGCGCTGTAAGTGCTTTGATGGAGGGAGTGATGGAGTTGGAGAAGCGTGGGCACCTTCCTCTCTGGTGCTGGGAAGGACGGAGAGGGCTGGGATGGCCGGACCCCCAGCGTCCTGTGTGGAACCACTGTGTGGTCCACTGTCTCGTCGGAAGCATCGCTACTTCAGGGAGCACCTTTGCTGTCTCCAGACCCTCTGCGATGCGGTTGGCGGCGGTGGTGTCGGGACTAAAGTCAGGGCTGCGCCGTTTTTGCCTGGACGCAGTGGCGAAGCCCTGCTTGTCGTGTCCAGCTTAGGTGGAGAGACTGGGCCCCTGTGCCTCCCCCAGTTTTCTAACCACCTGCCTGGGCGCTCTTTCACTGTCCTTTGCCGGCACTTGGAGTCATAAGGGATAAATCACATCCTCTGGGAAGTTTGAGAAAACCTGGCTTCTATCTTTCCGTACATTCCAGAGTTCCTTGAAAAGTGAGGGAGGACCATGGGACGGGGCACTTTCCAAACTGACTTTTAAAATGCCGTTTCCCAAGTCCCAAGACTTTGACCTAAAGCGGCCCAGTCCATTGAGACACGTCAGGTTTTTCACGGCCCTACACAGAAGGTCGCAATCGGTAAAATTATGGGCTCTAAGGCCAGGGGGCTTCTGATAGAAAACTTCCTGCGAGTTCTTACCGGCTGCAGCTCCCCATGTGTTCAGTTCTCCACCCTCTCCTGCCCTGCAGGCAGCGCGGCCTCTGGCCCCACCGGAGCTTAGAGGGATAGGGGGTCAGGGGCTAGGACCTTGGCGGGCTCTCCGCGCCCGGGGCGCAGCCAGGCCCGCGGAAGCGCGCGGAGCGTGGGGCGCTCGGGGAGCAGGCCGGGCCCTCCCCGGGTCCTGCATGAGCCGCGCGCGGTGGGCGGAGAGCTCAGGACCGGGCAGCCCTCAGGCGGTTCCTTCCTCTCCACACTCCCCCGGTTTGGGCACCATCTCCCGGGTCTGCACCAGCTTAACTCTGGCTAGGATCGCTCCCCAGGGCCGGCGAAACTGAGCGGAAATTTGGAGCCTAACGGAATGTTCAGCATTGGGGTCTGGGAAACAGTTCTTTCTGGCGCTTTGTCCCACACCATCTGGCCGGTGTCCCTTACTGCCTTCTGTCGCAGACCTCCGGGTGTCAGTCCTCCATCCTCTCCTCGCCAGGTGAACCCAGTCTTAGCTAACATGTACACTCCTCAGACTGTCCTCTTCCCAAGTCGGGTTGCCCGCTAGAAGAGCTCAGACCCTTTGCTTGCCATGCTGGAAACCCCTCCACCCCCCCCCCCCCCCCCCCGGGGGTGGCTGAGAAGAGCGCGCACTGCGGGTTGTGTTCCAAACGCGTAGATGGTTCGGAGGCTGGCGCGGCGCGCCGGTTCCTGGGCCGCTGCTGCCCCCTCTCGGCGGGCGCTCGGCCTCATGCCCGGTTTCCCCTCTCTTGCGCTGCAGATCCTCCGCTGAGCAAAACTTTCCGCCAGAATGCTGCTCCTGTTGCTCGGCATCATCATCCTCCACGTCGTTGTGCTGGTGCTACTGTTCGTGTCCACGATCGTCAGCGTGAGTGCTGGGCAGCCGGCGGGGTGGACAGGGCGCCTCAGAGCAGGCTGGCCTGAGGCATGGCGAGCTTTGAGCGACCATCAGTTCGTCCCAGTGGATCCTTGTCAGCCTTCCTCCTGGCCCAGGACTGCCTTGTTATTTGCCAGCCAAGTTGAGTCTCTAACGCTCCAGAAAGTTTTGCAACTTCTGGCACGCTCTTCCTTCCCAGATGTTTTGGATAAATCAAAGGCAATTTACCCTGGGGAAGAAACAAGCGCTGAGCTGGATGGGGTCCACAGGCTTGAGTTACTTAACCTGACTATTCAACTGGTTATTGGCTTGTAAGAGGGCTAAGACTTGACTGGCCAGCATTCTCTTGATGCAGATTTGTTAAGGTCTGAAATGACACCTATTTATGATGGCTTCTATTTATTTTCTTAGCATATCAAAGATTACAAGTCAGCTTAGTTTAGAAAACGTCCATTAAGAGTTCAAACTGCAAAGTGAAAGTTGCTTTTGTGGGGCATTTCAAGGCATTTGCCAGGTTTGTGTTATGGACACAGAAACTTGTTAATATAATCTCCACTAGTGTGAACAGGTCGCTGGAATAACCTGTGATATAAAACTCTCCATTAGTTGACCTTAAACTTTCTTAGTGATAAAAATGAGCAGATGATAAAGACTCAGGAAGTGATATGACCTTGGCTGTAACAGCTTTATTATAGAGGAAGGAAATGGGCCCAGAAAGGTAATAGTTTGGGGCAGGATTCGCCTAGGTTGGGAGTAAGTAAGAGAAGGACTTCTCTGGAGGTGTCTTGAGTTGAGATCATAGCGTCTTCTTCTGTAGCACCTGCCCTGCAGAAGTGTCTGGGCCTATTTCCTTCCTCTATAATAATGTCTGTGAGTCCACCTAGCTTTTAACTAAGATGTTGAGAAGAAACTTGTGAATGAAAACTAATTCATAACTACTCAAAGCATTTCTCACTGTGACATATTCAATTCTCAATGTTTTACACAAACATGGATGTTCTGCCTGGGACTGGCCTATCTTAAAGCTGTTACAGCCAAGGTCAAATCACTTCCTGAGTCTTTATCATCTGCTCATTTTTATCACCAAGAAAGTAGTAGGTTGGGGCAGGATTTGCCTAGGTTGGGAGTAAGTAAGAGAAGGACTTCTCTGGAGGTGTCTTGAGTTGCGATCATATTGTCTTCTCCTGTGGCTGTTTACAGAATGCTTTTTACTTACAAAGTATTGGCTCTGAGCCCCCTGGCAAGGCCTTTCTTCTTTCTCTGACACTTCTCTGGGCTTAACCAGGGAGCAGTTTCAGTCCTTCCAACCCTGGGCAGTGGCAGGCCTTGTCCATTTATAGATGAAGCTCCCCTTGCCTTCTTTAAGTCTTTCTACCCTACCTGCTCCCCTAACTCAGGATGTTTGGTTCTTTCCAGCAATGGCTCCAGGGTCACGGATATGCGACTGACCTCTGGCAGAACTGTACCACTTCTTCTATGAGCACCGTCCACCACTGCTTCTCATCATCGCCAAACGGTGAGACCCATGTTTCCCTCCGTGAGCTGTCCATGTGTGTCTGTGACCAGTTCTCACTGGAGAGCTGGAAGCACTTGTTTGTGGAAGATACCAACAAGAAGGATGTTGCTTTTGGGCTGGACTCACATACTGCAGGGAGCTATGAATCTTGTTTCATAGCTGAACAGCTGAGATGCTGAACTCTTGGGTGCAAATGCACATTCTCACACCTAAAGAAATGCTTTTAGTGTGAATTTTGTTTGCTGTTTTCCAGTAGAAAAATGTTGGCAAGGGCAAATAGCAAAGGTGGCATAATGACTACACTTAGTCTCCATTGGGAGGTGTGCTGTACCCTTCCTCTCTTATTGCTAGCTGTCTGTATTTACAAAGCCCTTTCTACTGTGAGGAAGTGGGATGAGGATGGCTGACTTTCCATTTGGTCCTCCAGGTACAAGACTGACTTTCCAGTCTCAGACCTCAATTGTGCCACTTAGCTTAAAAAGCTTGCAGTGCTTCTTTGTTGCAAATGGAGCTGAGAAGCTATTTGCAAAGCCCTTAGCGGATCCTGGAAATCCATCCCTGGGGTTGAGTGCCCTGTGAAGCCCATTTCCGCTATGATACATGAGAATTTTATTAATCTGGATAGAGTCTATAGTAATGTTTCGCTTTTTTGTTGTTAACTGATCTTAGGGAGTGTTCTTCACTTTAGAGATTGTGTCCATCTTGTAAGATACTGGAATGCAGACTTAATTGGATTCAAATTAAGAGGCAGAGTTTACAGGGAAGGTGCCAAATGTGCATAGACATGGGTGCTCCTTACAGCTTGCATCTTTGCATGTTCAGAAGCAGGGTTAACTAAGTGAGGGGTTCGTTGGGAGCTGCGAGGTGCTTGTGGTGACATAGATGTGAGACGGGACCCCAGCAGGCCCGCCTCGCCACAGACTTGGGTTCCTTCTCAGCTGGAAGAACAAGGTAGCTGTACTTATTGCTAGAACTTGGCCTCTCAGGTTTAAAACACTGCCAAGTCATAGCTCAGAATGTTGCTCCAACAATTCAGAAATCCAGTATCTCTACAGAAGATGCTCTGCCCAGGAAGAGAAACTGGCTTAGCTCCAGCTCAGTAAATGAAGCACACTTAGAGTCAGGTTTTGCATGCTTCAAACTCTTTGCTAGATTCCTTTTTCTACAGACCTAAGACCCAACCTTGCCACTGAAGGATTATCACAAACAAATATCTTAAATGTCAGGATGAACAAAAATAGCCTAGATAGCCTTTGGGCAGTCTATAGCAGGAGGATAGTCAAGAACTATTTTCTTCCTTCTCCTAATGCAGCAGAAAATCCTGCTTTAAACTTTTTCTTTCCAGGAAAAAAAAAAAAAAGAAAAGAAAAGAAAAAGACCAAGTCCTTAATTGATATGAGCAGGCCTTATCTTTTCTATGTGGAGAGTGTGGAATAAAAGCCATCCAGAGGGATGCATAGTGACTTTGTATGCTGAGTTGGCAACAAAGTAAATGAGTTATTTTCTGAGTGCCTGTGATGTGGCCATTGCGTTGCTTCTCCCCAAAGCCACAGCATCCTGTTTGGATGGGCGGCTCCCTACTCGCTACTGTCACCTGGTGGCCACAGGTAGGAATGGAGCCCGAGCCTTTCTTATAAGTTTCTGCAGGCACCATTTCCAGGCGGCTACTGGCCTGAGATCCTGGACTCTCAGGTCCACAAGTGTAGCGTTTGGGTGGCCGTGCTGAAACATTAGCTGTGTATCAATAGAAGTGAGGAGGTAGAGGAACAGCTCTCTCAGTTGTGCTCAAAACTGATGCAGGGAGGAAAGCCTGTTTGCCTCTTGGCTTGTTACTTTCTGTTACTTTCTGTTGTAATCTGTCCCAGAAGCAGATCTCAAAGATGTGTTAAACTCCCACATATGGAAAATAAAATCAGCTGCTCAAACTCATGGTGTACCAGACAACTAGCTTAGTACCGGGGACTGAATGTGCAGAAGTAGGTCCCTAGGCCTTTTTTCCAAGGTGCTTCTGGGCAGACTCAAACTGCCAACCATTGGATTAGCCATGGAGCCTGTTAATCATGACTCCACCCGGAGACTCCAAAGGGGAACTGCACAGCAAAACCATTTCAACCACCACCCTCTAAAAAAATCCCTGCAAATGAAGACATTGCAACGGGAGTTAATTCTACCGCCTGGTGACCCCAGGTGTGACAGCTCTCCTGTGCTCCGTAAGCCTGTTCCTGGCTGCCATCTCTTTGAAGCTGCTGGGTGCCTTCAAATCACTGACCTTTAGGTTAGCAGCCAGTACAGACTGACAGTGCTGCCCCGAGATCTTGAAGAGGTCTTGTGGTGTACATCAGGAGGATTTGGATTCGCGGCACCTCTATAAACTAGACCCTCCCCGTACAGTGTCCTGAGCTGCCATCTTACCAGCAGCACATTGCCGGGTGTGTTCCCTCCAGCAGGGTTGCTGGTGGGTTCCAGGTCAGAGCTGCCTGTTTAACACCTGGAGTCGACATTGATGTAACAGCACCTTTTAATCAGAGACCTTCTTATCACTCACACGTAGCTCGTGTGCTCTGCTCTCTAAGCTTTACTTACAGTGACTCCAGGGGCCTTTCTTGTTGCTTTTGAATTTTGCTGGCTGGTTTCTGTGGACATTCCAGGGAATATGTACCTCTACATCTTGTCATCTCACTGTTCCCACTAAGGGCATTTTGAGGAAATCTGGTCAGACCTTTTAAAAAGCGCAGTGGTTTGTTTAAACTAGGGCCTCTTGGGAATTAGAGTTTTCTGTTTCAGCCTTTCCAGCTATAGTCACCGCCTTTGCTGGCATCTTTGAAGAGTCTGGGGTTACATGTAACTTCCGTTTGAAATACAGGATCATGTGTGACAGCTTTGGTTGTTTGGGATTTAACAATTGGTATGGAAAGTAACGTGGAAAAAATACAATAGAAATTGCAAATTGACACATTGGCAAAAAATTTAAAAGTGGGCTCCACAAGTTAGAAACCATTTACTTTGTTTGGATTTGGTTATTGAATGTTTGTCATATACTTTAATTTAAGGAATCCAAAATAGCTTGTTGTTGATACTGATTAGCGAATATTGTGTTACAAAGGATGAATCATTGTGAAGGCAATACCAGCCATGTGCCCAAGGAGCAGGCAGACACGCCATATACATGTGGGCCCTGTCACAGCATCCCTTCAGGCACCCCTGTTCCAATTGCTCTGTACTGAACTGTAGGCATGGCTTCCTCTGACCTTGTGCCATGTGACAGTCCCTTTCTCATTGTGGTCACTGGGAACCTATTCATTGCTGACCCTTGAGTGGGTCTTCAGAGGCTGTGAAGTGCATGGGAAGAGATTGCTGGTCTTTCTCTTTCAGAGCACCAAGTGGATTCAAACTGCTCACCTTTGGTGACCAGCGTAACTCCCACCTGGTCATCAGAACTTCCTGATGGTCAGTCTAAAAACCTCAGAGTTATGTATTTTGAAGGATGCACATCAGATCTTTCTTGAAACATTTTCTTTGCTTGGAAATGGCTTTAGAGTTTTTACTAACTCAACTCTGCCTGTCTTCTCCTTTCCCACGGTCATTTCTGGACCCTCTTAATCTGGATGTGGACCAGGGTGAAGGTGTCTTGGCAGAGGTCCATTCATCATGACCTTTTATTGAATGTTCTTGGATCTTGCAAATGCAAGGGCTTGCAAAATCTGGACCTTGTCTTTGATAGTCCCACGTCTCATGGAGAAATCAGAAGACTGGTCTACCAAGATGAATAGTGAAGGTTACATAGGCCAAGGTGCCCAAGAAGCGGGGCATGCTTACAGTCCACGTGCCAGAGTCCAGGGGAGAAAGTGGATGCAGGTTTTGAATGGGAGATAGAATGTAACCCTCCCTCCAGAGGATGGGTGAGATTTAAATGGAGAGGATATTCCCAGTCAAGGCAAGGACATGGCCTGAAGCAAAAGCAGAGGGCAGGGATGTATAGTTGGCAAGGACATCCATGGGGTTCAGTTAAGGACCACTTTGACAGTGAATGAGATCATTTACTTCTCTCTCATTTGAAAGAAGCCTGAAAGAAGGCAACCCAGGATTGATATGTGGTCCTGTGAAACTGACAGAGATCTTGCTACCTTGTAGCTTGTGCCCCTCCAGCACCAATCTCTTGAGATCAGCCTTTATCCTTCCCTAGAAATCTACCTATGCCATCCTCTCCCTTTATGTCTTTATATCATCCTTTATATCTCACTCGCCATTTCCCTTCACTTTCTTCTGGACAACATGGGTCACTTTGCATCTCAGGATTCCCTCTCTTCTTTTTAACCTTTTATCCTTCCTTCCACCTGTCCCTTATCATTCTACCAAGAGCTTTTCTTTGATCATATGTCATATGTCTGACACCCTTGAAGGCACCAAAAGGCAAGAGTGACCTGAGAGCCTCTCACAAAAGATCTGGGTATACTAGGCCCTCAGAAGAGGTGCTGTGGGGCAGGAGCCCTCCTGTGATGCAGATGGCTTCCAGGCTCGGTTGCTAGGTTGCTAACCAAAAGGCTTGCGTCCCCTCCAGGGGAACCTTGGGGGACAGGCCCAGTGATCACTCCTGAACTCTGTACTTACCACCTCTGGAGGGCACAGTTCTCTTCTAACACACAGGTTCTCCTGAGGCAGGATTCACCCCCGGGCACCTGACAATTTGCTCATTTTTTGGCTGAACAGGTAGGCATTTTATAGAAATTACAGCGGGCTCTCTGCATTTGTGGCTTTGTGTTTTGCAGTTTAACAGTTTCTTGGCTCTCTGGCTCAACCCAGAGTAAGAAATATGTACCCAAGTAACGGCTCTTGATGGTACAGGCCTTGTGGGAAACTGGAGCCCTGCAGGGCCTGGGAGATCTCGGCCTGTGGAGCCTTGATGCTGACATTTCAACCCTAAGAATGTTTCTCATCAAATGTCAATATCCTGGAGGCAATCAGAATACTTGTTTTAACTCAGCTTCACGCCAGATGACCCT